ACGAACGCACTCTTTAACGATACTCGTCCAGTTCAAAACGGCCAGGGCTAGGCAGGTGGTTGATGCTCAGAAAAACATTGAAGCGATCTGGCAAACTGTCTCCCTACCCCCCTTTCACGCTGGTAGTAATCCGATCGAACGCCGCCTGAGTGAGTGACGCTGGCATGTAGTAAGTTAAGTTTGTACATGATGCAAAATGCTGAGACTGAGAATGAAATTTGAAAGAAAAAGTGTAAGAAGACAGAAAAATGGGGACAGGACAACGTCTCAAATTCAGCTCAGGACAACGTCTTAAACTCAACTCAGCTAAAAACTAAACTCAGGACAACGTCTCAAACTCAACTGAGCTGAGTTTGAGACATTGTCCTCTCCCCTTTTTCCTTTCTTCTTATACGCTTCTTTCGAATTTCACTCCCAGTCACAGGATTTTGTATCATGATCAAGATACACCAGCTCGCCTGCACCTCGACAATTTTTTAGTTTGTAATTGCTTTGGAGGTTCATTTTCCTGGACGCGGAAGAAACGCCGAGCAAAAAGAACAGAAGCCGACACCACTTGAGGTCCAGGAGCGTTCTACCATACCAGTTACGTCTAAAGAAGAAAAACGGGAAAGAAGGGGGGGGGGGGGGGGCGCATGTCTAACCCCCCCCCCCCCCCAGGTATTTCGGACTCTCAAAGGCAGTACGGCGAAAGAGGGCATGGTCGAGCTTATTTTAATTTGAAATTATTTATGCATATGTATAGCTACTGTCGCTCTACACTGCATAAAAGATCACGTTGATGGTCATTGTTAGAAACTCGTCGTCAAAAGGCACTACTCATCACATGCTCGATGGTTCGGAAGTTCAAAGCTATATCTTTTCGGTCTAAATAACTGTGTCATTAGTAAAAAAGTAATAAATAAATAAACATAACAATAAATGCAAAAATTAAAAGCTGGAGAGAAAAATAAAACTATCAAGAACCCGCCGGAAGTGTTGTATTCTTGCATATTTAGAGGCCCAGAACTACGAAACAAGTTTTTCCTACCAAAATATATACAGGCTAAAAGAAACACGTCCAAAAAATGTAAAATTAAAAAAAAATTAAATTTTTTTTTATGACGTGCTGATTTTAAACAATTTTAGAAATCTTCCCCCATGAGTTAATTCATTCCTCAACGTGAAAAAAAAAACAATAAATGCATTATTTTCTATCCTACAGGTGGTAATGATGTGTACTGTCTGCGATGTTAATTTAAATGCAATAGCTCAAACAATTTAATGAAAGAATTACCAAGTTTAGGGCATAATTGCCCGTCGATATATGCTTGGGTATTTCTTCAAAACTCGTCTTAAACAACAATAATCATATCTTTAGACGACACTTACCTTGACTATGCATATATCATTCTTAAAAAGTTAGCTTCGGATATAGCGCGCTTCAAATATGGCACAAACGACAATTGTCAAATAACGCGTCGTCCTTCCTCGCTCCTTCGGGAAACTATTTCTTTAAAACCAAGCATGCCAGATGATTGAAATAAACGGCATTGTCTTTCGCAGAGAATGCGGCACCGCATGTAAAAAATGCGAAAAAAAAAAATAACGAGTGTACTTCACTGCTTGAATCCAAATGAAACCGCCCGCCAGTCTTTTGAAGTTCGTCGAACTTGTGACTTTTCAGGAATCGAAAGTTCGACAATTTTCGAATTCTTTAGATTAATATGTTCGAAAGCTCGAAAATTATCGAATTTCTTAGCTTAGGAAGTTCGAAAGTTCAAAAAGCTTCGACCTTTTTGGTGCAAGAGGTTCGAAAGTTCGAAAATCATCGAAATTTCTAGTCTATCAAGTTCGAAAGTTCAACAAGCATCGAATTTTGCAGCGTTATAAGTTCGAAATTTGGAAAAGCGTCGAACTTCTTAGTTTAACAAGTTCAAAAATCTGACTTCCGTTCAATTTGTCGACTTGGAAAGTTCGAAAATTTGAATTCTTTCGAACCTTTTGAACCGCTTAATGTGATAATCGAACCTTCGGTTCGAAAAAAAGTTCGCGGCATCCCTAACGATTAGTAACACTGGCTGTGTGAAATACCTGATCGCTAGACAAACGTATGAGACGTAACACGCTCATAATAAAATATCAAATAGGCTGCGTAAGTGCTGCAACGGTTCACAGAAGACATGCGATTTGTTGACAGCAGACCAGCGTAGTATTAGAGAGTTACAGTGGATCGTACGCTGCGGATTACAGAACCAGCGGGCACGTGCTAAATCTATGCTTCAAAGTGACGGCACGAGCTCCCACTAGCAACGCAGAAGTCTAGTGTACGGTCGAATAAAAGGCGCTATACTATAATCAAAAGCCCTTGCTAAAAAAAAAAAAGAAAAAAAAAACATTAGTAGAATTGGTATTTCGCTCGTTTTTATGTGGTAACCGCATTCGATTGAATCGCACGTCTCTGTGCTACATGACATAAAAAGCACCCATGGTGCCAAAAAAAAATGTAAATAGAGCATGGCGCGCGCTTTGCAAGCTCGAGAACGCGCTCAAACTGATCACTCTTTCTAAAAACGGAATTTCCCCGCTAAATTAGGCGAATAAATTGATGTCACCTAGTCTTACGTCACCTGAACTATGCACCAATGTAGTTTCCCCGCTAGATTTGGCGGGAAAATTGACGTCTTGTGACCCTGCGTCCCCTGACCTTAGCTTTTTATGTATATACCAAATTATACTTTTATTCGAAACATTTTTTTAAGGCGTCTTTATTGCTAAGTGAATGCCGTTTTTACTATATGTTTATTGAGCTCGGCGGGCATTCGAGGGGCGGACAACCGTTCTAGTCTGGTCAGTAATTAAGTAAAATTTGTTAATTAACTCTTTAATTTGTGAAAATACACATATGGTTCCAATTAGAAACTTGCTGAGCGTCATCCAGAACCACTACATCAAGAATCTTTTTAAATACTTTGAGCTCTTGGGAAACGTAGTAGTGCGCTAGAAGTACCAAACGTGCAACAGGTACGAGGCTGGCGCTATGATAAAAGACGGAAAAATCGCGCGGACGCCTTATCGCACCGGTAGCGTTGCTCCTGCTGCTCGAGTAATACCTTTAGAGCAGTGCTGCCCTTCCCGCGCGCTCAAAGTCTTCCTGAAAATTACTTATTTAGCGGTTTTGAATGACTCTCAGTCAGTTTCTAATTATAATCTTATGTTTATTTTCAATCATTAAAAGTTAATTAACAAATTTTAGTTCATTACTCATCATGTTGCGACGGTCGTTCGCCCCTCGAATGTCCGCCGAGCTTGAGAGACATATGGTGATGAAAGACGGCATTCACGTCACTAAAGGCACCTTTTGTTTAAATTCGTATCGAATAAAAAATTGTCATCCGGTATATTGATGCCACGTCGCATGTACTATTGAAGACTGTATATAGTATTCTAAACAAATTAAAACAATCCCTTCTTAAAAACTGCATCACATGCATCGTAGGACTTTGAATTTAAAGGTCGCTGCCGATTTTTGTCTCCTCTTATTTCGTTCACTTCATCATTACTACAGCGGGCCTCCCCAGCATTAGCCTTTGCAGAGGCTCGTCAACGCCCGTTTCAGTGGCTTGGTACCTCTTCAAGACAAGAGAAGGCCAGCAATGGCGGCTGCTATCTGGCGCGTGTGTAAAAACGTCTTATACAAGAATCGTCTCTATAAAACTGCCCGTCGTCGGCGAATCTAGATCGGCTCACCAAGAACGAAGAGGTCAGTGAGATACTGCCTATTCCATAAACCAAAATGGCATCCGCACGGGGTGGAGTGCCTGGTGCTACTTTCCCAGGATCCTGTGATTTTACTCTTAACTTAAAGTCCCTTGAAGCGGCTCTATTGGCGACGTGCGCGACCGAAAGCGTCGCTGTGGTCGGCCTTCCACGATTGGCCCAAAAGCTGACTATGAAGTCGGGAAGGGTATACCGTCGACGGAAATAGGAAGAATGAAAGAACTTTAATTTCGACGGTGTTGGCAGTGTTGCTTTGAGAGCGCAATGATCTCAGGCTTCCACCATGCTATTTACAGGCACCATCGAACTTGTTGTTCGCAAGGTAATGACGTCACAAGGGGGAACCATATAAGGGCGCCGCCAAAACATCTCGCCGCTAATAGGAAGTGAACGAGGGCGGAGCACCCGCTCGTGCCACATGCCTCGCGCGTTCACAGAACAATGGTTGGTTGTACTTGTATGAAGTGCGAAGCGTGAATTTCATCGAGGTATTTTAATCTCTGTACGATACACCTTTCCAGAAGCGTTTGAGGGCGCGTTCATTGCTGTGTTTGTGTGTTATGCACGCGCACTTCCTGCCTGGCCGCAATAGACCCTTTCAGAAATTCAGTGCCATCTGGTGGTTCGTAAAGCAGTTTAGGTTTTGCCCTATCAATGGCGGAAATGAACTTGTATCGGCACCGTCACTTTCGCAAGTCGACGGCACGCGAGGAATTGTTCAGTGTGAGTTCTTTCTCGATCACTTTCAGGTCGATGGTGACCAAGAACGTGCATTCAGAACAAAGCTCCAACCCACTGAGATGCCTCGAGAAAATTCTATACACCAAAGTGCTTTAAAGCCGATTGTGTGCCACGACAGATTGACTGAATCTGAGCAATTAGAAATAAACGCTTACGTAGCTCTTGTGTTCCAGCCCTACTTCGCTTCGTACTGACCCCCGAACGTACAGGCCTCGCAATATCCGCTTAGGAGCATCTTCAACGTCTTCCTTTATCAGTCACTTGAAGGCCGCCATTCGTAGGGCACAGATGCCGTTCCACAGATGATGATAGTGATCAAAGTGGCCAGACTGAATTTCGGGAAGGGTCTATTGCGGGCAAGCACTGGCTGGACTGTGATTTAGCACGTGTGGACTGTGATTTTTGTAAACAGTAGAAACGTCTGTACTAGTGTCACGAGTCCCTTAGGTGAAGTGCACGTGAGTTGAGCGTGGGAACCTCTTTCTTCCGTTTCATGGCAGAAAGGCAGCGAGGGCGAGACTACCGTCTACAAGCGGGTGGCCGTGGTGGAGAACTTTTTCGACATCATCTATGGCGTTCACGTGGAGATGGACGGGCGCGGGGGCAAGCACGCCGGACAGAAACGCACCTACAAAGCCGTAAGTGACGTCACTATCTATCCGGAAATTTACGCTATAGTAGTGCTTGGACTCTTCGACCTCCTGGCAAATGCCTTATGCCGTGCCCCATTTCGAAGTGTTCCTCTACTCCGTTTCGTTCCGTGTCTCCGCCGAGCTCGGGCGCTTGCGCAGTGCAAGCATCGTGCAAGTATCGCGCGTGGCAACATACGTGCTCGTGTTTGTATAGCTTTGCCTTCTCCGAGACTTCCGAGCACTAAGCGCTGACAAAGGGATTAGTGGGTCGAGCCGCAAACGGTAGCAGCCTTTGTCCCTTCCCACCCTCCCTCTCTCTAATCGGAGCTAACAAGAACGTCGTGCGCTCCTTGCGCAGTGTTTTGTGTTCGAACGCCGGACACCATTCGGCGTTCGAACAGAGGGTAGGGACGAATGCAGCTAGCCTTTGCGTCCTCTACCCACTAATCCTTCCTATCAGAGCTCGGCGCGCTGACGTTTTCCGCGCGCACTCATTGGCGAGTTTTAGTAGACCGTGTTTCCCCCTCCGCTAAGCCCCTCCGCTACCCGGAACTCTACAGCCAAGGCCACCGGCGCGCAGGCGCAGTGGCGATTCAGTGCTCCGCTCTGCAGGGCGGCTGCACGAAAACGAGCCACAAAATCTCCCTGTTTACTTCCCTGTCAGTTTTTCGTTGCATATAGGATTGATTTTTTTTCTTTGGATATTCGTCGAAACACAGTTATGAGCTTGAGATACGACCTTATACGTCGCTCGTCTCACGTGTGCTCTTCTCAGTGCTCACGTGGAAATGGACGAAGCGTTCTCCTATAAATGTTCCTGGCGTCTTCTAAGTAAAGCAAAAAAATAAAAGATAAAAACTTCGATGTTTATTTGTCTATTATTTTTCCATTCCTTTTTCCATGATCGTCCACTGTTTTCAATCCATGATCAAAAAAGTATGAAACCTTATTTGCTTTTTTGTTTCGACTTCATAATCGTATCTTTTTAATTGCAAGAAAAGAAGGAAGAGAAAAAAAAAAACGGACAGCGCGGCACGGACGGCATTCTGTTCTAAGTAATGTGAAAGAATGCGAATATGTGAAAGAAGTGTAACGTGGCCGGTAAAGTGTTTCCTACCTATTTTCGTCCCTTTCCACGTAATATGCTGCATGTTTTGTCTTGAGTGTCTCTCCATCGAACTTATAAATTCTGCTTGTCCCTGATGGCACAGATCGCCGAGCTGTACGCCTTCCTACCACGAGAAGCCGTCACCCATTTTCTCATGTCCTGCTCGGACTGCCAAAAACGCATGCACCTCACCAACGGCTGCCTCACTGGTGTCACGAGCACCACCACCACCAACAACGGCGGCGGCGCGACGCCGGACCTGGCGTCTCCCGGTTACCCCGGCAACGGCTGCGCAACGACCGGAAGCGCCCCATCGAACGACGTCATTTCCGGAGGAGACTGCGGGAGTGGCGCCATCTCTACGAGCTCCCCGGAGTCGTCGCCAGATGGCGACGCGAGCGGCGACGGCGGCGGCGGCGACGGAGGCGCTCTTGGAGCTTGCGTGGCGGAGCCGGGAACGACGCCGGCGGTGATCGCGGCTGAGTTGGATTTCAGCGTGCCCATCACTACGGCCTACTTGAAGCACATGCGGAGCCTGGGGCTCTCGGATGGGGATGCCCTCAATCATAAAGAGGTGAGCTCGACAACCTTCGATGCTCGCACTACGAGCTTCGTAGATTTACGGGCTTGACCGAAGCGGCGGCCTTTCAAACCTTTCCAAAGCGAACCTTCGCGCGGAGTTCCCATTTTTCGAGGTCTGTTTTGGTTTCGGTTCGGCGTCGGCTGCGCGAACGTGCTGCGGAGGCAGACTTTTCCTGCTTGAATATCCCGAGCTCTAGCAGCGTGTTTGTCGTGTACGCCGCTCTCGCAGAGTTGTTTCGTCAGCCGGGGTTCAATCTTTTTCCTTGTCTTTCTTTCTTTTTTTTTTTTCCCCCTCTTTTTTTGTCGTTTCTGTATCAACTCTTTCTTCATTCATTCTGGTCTTCTCTCGAAAACTTTTCTTTTTCTTCTTTTGTGCAAGGGGAGGTGTTTGTTGCTAGAGCGCCGATCGGCGAAGCTGCGAAGGGGAGCGAGGAGAAAAAAAGCGAAGGAAAATGTGGCGAAGAGAGATCTCTATGACAACAGGTTGCGCTGCGGTGAAGGTTGTACCCGCGATACCGTCTCGTCCTTTTATTCTGCCGCTTTTTCTTTTTCTCCTTGTTCTCTGCGTTTCTCTTTCTTCGTGTACGCCTTATAAAAAAAGGCCGAAAACAAACATTGTGTTGCTCCGTTCGGAGTTTTCATTGTTCCATGTTCTTTTCCAGACGCTTTGAAAGGTTGCTTTCTGCTCTTCGTGAACGCGTTCGGAGTTTTCGAGAACGTTTTTATACAACTTCAATCTTTCGAGAAAGGATTTCGCGACCGGTACTGTGTATTTTTCTTCTTTTCCTCTTTCTTTTTTTTTTTTCTTTCACCACTGCGTTAGTAACATCATATCCATAACCTCGATCCGTAAAGTGTTAATCACTGGTTGGCTCGCGAATACCTTAACTTGAATCAAGTTTTGTCGTTGTTTTACGGATGTATGTGATACGCGGGATATGGTAGAGGAAGTATTTACTGGGAGTTATAGCTGAGTGTGCGTACAAATAGCAAGCTTCCACGTTATCTTTTTTTTTTTTTTTTGTAATTTGCTTTTTAAGTTATCCGGACAGCCGCCGTAGTAGCACACTTCGTTCTATGAATGTCCTTGGGATGCCCTTAGGACGTCCTAACATTTTGGAGATGTTTATAGGACATCCCCAGAATGTTACAACACCCTAAGGATTTACATAACTAAGTGTGCTACTAGGGCGCGGACTTCTAAGTAAGAGCTTGTTGTGAGTACGCTCAGTGAACAGTGCGCTCTAATATGACTTGCAGTGGGTACCCCCCCATACCTAATAAATTCCCAACGTAAAGCGCACTGCCTCTTGCAAGCTGCACAACAACCGCTGCTCATTGCGACTTACCTTTTGCGGTAAAAAGAGGACGTGTTCCAGTTCACTCTGCTGCTTCGCTGCGGAGGTTTTCGCCAATTGTAAGAAGCTTGTTTATTGTTTAGGGTCAACGTTAAGTGCATCTTTTTTTTTCGTACAGGCTTTCTGCTGTCAGGCTTTGAACGTAATGCAGTAAACTGCTGAATAGTTAGTTGTCGGGCGGTCATTGACACCGTTTCATTCATATCCCGACGCTTGCGTTTCTGGTATCCAAGCTACCGCAATTTTCTTTGTAATTTTCATATTTTTTTTTTTTCAATTTCCCCGGCCACGTTTTACTTCCTTTTTCTATGAGCGGCCTTTTTAGAAGTATCGTGTTTTCTTTTCTTTTTTGTAGTTGAGATACCCTCCTTTTTATTTATTCCAAGCTCCAGTCTTCTCAGTTTCCTGTAGTTTCCTTTTGTTTAAAACATGTTGATCCTTACTTTTCTTTTTCGCTCCCCATTTCTTTTCTTTTTTTATAAAAAGCGCACACAAAAGCACGCGCGGCATTTCCACGGCTTCGCCCGGTCTGTCCATTGCTTTAACTCACAAACACGCATGCACCAAAACACACACAGACTGGGGCGCGCATGCATACACCGCGCCAAACTTCTAGAACCGGGGGCCCACGACCGCTCCCCTTTTGCCATCGACCGCCCCAACTTTTACTCCCTTCCCCCTTCGATGTTTCCTTCCCCCACCCCTCAGCGGAACACCCCCGCAGTTTCTCCCCCTTCCCCCCGGCCACGCTTTTTCCTCCTTTCCCGAAAGAAACCCTTCAGTTTAGGGAAGAGAGGAGCGCGAAGGCGGGCGCGCGACGAACACGACGAGTCGGGCACTGCGCGAGTGCGCTCTACCATCGTTGAAAGTTAACTCAATTTCAAGGCTTGAAATAATCTATCGCTGTTCAGTTTTTTCTTTTCTGTGAGCTGTCCCTAAATAGGTTTTAAAGGAAACGGGAAGTAGGATTGTATGCGGCCGCTGTCCTGTTGTTTCAGTGCTGTTGTTTTTTTTCGGTGCAATGTAGAAAATTCGTCGCGTTCGACGACGACGTTGCTCGCGACACGGCAAAAGGCGCCCTCCAGCGTTCTATTCGTTAATTAAACAGGGACAGGATGCGGCGTGTTGCGGGTGGGAAGACAAAAGGCTTAGGGAAATGGGGAAGGGGAGAGTCGAGCGACTGCTTGCTCTTTAGTGCCAATTGGGGAAGTTTGAGGGAAACTGGAAAGCTGGGGGGGGGGGGGGGGGGGTGCAAGCGCGTTTTCGCGTTACAAGGGACGCCTTGAGTTGTCTGGGTCTTTAGCTTTCTGCGAATTGATTTCTGGGAAACAGCCCCTGGTTTTCTTTATATTGGTGGTTTACCCAGAATTACCACGAACTTGCCATCTCCAGTTCTTCCTTTTTGCTTCTTGTTTGTCGAATTCTTTCTCTCTCTTTCTTTCTCAGTTCACTGACTGCTGTCAATTGATTTTGTTTTTGGCCAAGTGGAATGTGCTTTTGTGCGGCAGCATTTGAACTGCTATAGCGTAGGTGCTCGCTGTTAGTTCATTCGTATCCGGAAGGTGATAAGTGGCGTCAGTGTTCTTTTCTCGCTGAAACTGAGTGTGTGTCGTGTGTTTACGCGAGGGTTTATGACGTTGCCCGTATTATCAATACCCGGTGACGTGATCCTATATGCACCCTGATTATCACTGCGATACGTTTCGCGGCGTCCCGCACCTCTGTATCTACCGCATTTTCATGTCTACAGGTCCCGCCGTTGCATAAACAACATCCCTAAAAAGAAAAAAAAAAAATAACTTGAGAATTGTGAGGATAACTCAACTTGTGTCGTCCCAATTTTGGTCCCTAGTCTCAGGTTTTTTTTTTTGTTTTTTTTTTACTATGATTGTTTACCAGCTCGCCTGTGCAGTAACCCTTATTTCAGTAACCCCAATATAAATGGAATTTTTTGTAAAATAAAAAAGTAGGTATACAAGAAACAGTAAGTAAACAGGCGAGCTGGTTGACGTTACACGTAATTGAAGAAACCGGATACGACGGACAAAGAAGGGTACAAACACAAAACGTCTCAAACGCAGCTACTGAGCTTTATTAACACAACCGTTTATGTACTATTTCTCACACACACGTGTCCCGGAATTTGCACAGGTCTTTGTCACCTTCAAGCGCGGTAAAGACTAAAAAACCTTGCCCTAATTTTTTTTTTTCTTTTTTTAGTAATGGCGATTGACGAGAAATAATTCGAGAAATATGAGCCTCGTTCATCCCCTCGACTCGGAGCCAGAGTGAGCGGCCACGTGGCCTGGTGCCTATCCTATGTCCCGAACGTTAACCAGTGCGCTGGGGTTTCCAAAGTAGAAAACGCGTGAGCTCCAGGCATTGTTAGAGTTCGGCTATTCTCATCACCGCAGTGGTTGGGCATGGGCCACTACCCGAGTGTCCTCCGAGCCATTGATTGTTGCGAGCCGAAGTCAAGTGCTCAGGCAGTTCTCGTGTCCAACCGATGATCCGCGCTCGACTGTCGTCAGGCGGGTGGTTTCGATCCCACAATTACATCATCACGCTTTGTAAAGGCAACCCTGAACGAAATAATCCACTTTTATCCTCGCTATGTAGGTATACAAGTCGCACATTAGTGAAAGCCGTAAAGATTGCGTGCTGAGCCGCTGCAGGAGAGAACCTATGTCGTTATATTTCGGAACAGCGGAAGAGCGAGCCATCGATGGGTGTGCTCTGCCGTTCCTCACTTGTCGTGATTGTCGACACGGCCTTCATCTGGCGCAGTAAAGTTTCATACTTAAAACCGCACACATACACATACACATACACATGAGTCGCACTTTGGTATCAGACGCACCGACGAAACTTTGCGGAAATCCCATTGCAGATACACCGGAAAGTGCTGGAACTGTGCAAATGTGAAAATATGTAATTTCGCAGACTTCTCTTAGTGTTTAGAGTTGAGCATACTTTGTTGTTAGTTTTTCGTGATCGATTATTGTTTTAGCTGGTTCGCGATTGCTAAATTTATGATTACGACATATTGTTCTTCTCTTACGTCAGTCACATAGGTTGCGTAAAAGAGCGTTCTGAATATCGGCTAAAAAGCTGACGTCATTCGTTCCTACTTGATGTTCGAAAAAAAATTAACTGATTTTAGGTGCTAATCTATACCGCGACTAGCGTTAAGGGTAAGCGAAACAAACGAAAGTGCTTCGTCATATGAGAAGAGTTTTAATTCAAATCGTGTAGAAACGTTTGAAAGCGATGCTGAATATTTCGTTACTTATAGAGCAGGCATATTACATTGGTGGCACTAAAGTACCCCAGCATAGGCTGGAACGCATCTGTGAACAACGAAACCGAGAATCGTACTGAAATAGGGACATACCAAAAAGAGTTCTACTCTATTTTTGAAAGGGATAAGAGAAACGAAGAGTATTTTTGTTTCGTCAATCCCAAATATGGTATTGGGAAACTCATACTATGCAAAGCTTGTAAGCGTCGCCATTCCTGAGTTCTGGCGGTTGTCTGGTTTCTTCGAGCTACAACTTCTGCGGCGTGAAACTGACACGGGAAACCGAACGCTCGCGGCGCATAAAACACGGACATGGACGCGAATGGCGTCACG